ATGCAGTATCTTTCTCTGTCTTTTCTCTCTGTAAATCTGCCTTTCCAATAAAAATAACTACCAAAAAAAAAAAAAAACCACTCTGAAAAGTCAAAGTGGGGGGAGGGGGAGACCATGAAGAAACACATCCATACTGGAGCAATAAAAGAAAACCTACACCATGAACAGGATGAGCTGTCAACAGGAACCTTCCCAGCAGCAGCCCATCAATGGCACGGGTGGAGACACCTGATGAAAATTACAGCACCTCCCGGGCATAGTGGCTGGCTGAAAGTAAAGTAAATGGGAATTAATCAAAATTTGAATAGGAACACATACTAGAATGAAGACTACGTGCTTCTTTCCACATTGTTCCTAAAGAATTTGGGAAAGCACACAAGGTGCTTTAGAACTTAAGACAAAGAAGGGAAGGTTATCATTCAGTAGCATGTTATTTAACTTCATGGCATTTTTAATTTCTTCTTTTTTTGTTGTTGATTTTGTTTTGTGTTTTGCATTTAAGGGGATTATAATAGACTATCATATCCAGTAGTGTGTTATTTAACTTTATGGCATTTTTTATTTCTTCTTTTCTTTCTGTTGTTGATTTTGTTCTGTGCTTTTCACTTAAGGGGATGTATAGTAGCTATGTAATGGAGACTCTCATATCCAGACGTGAGGATACAACACAGTATGCATCTCTACTTCCAGACAAAGATGAACTCCCAATGAAACTATTTACTAGATCTTGACAATAGGATGCTGGACTCTGCGATTGTTCATGCCCACAATGAGGGACATATGATTATACTATAATAATAATATAGAAGTGCTCAGTGGGGGTGGGGAGAGAACTTGGGGAGGGGATAAGGGAAATCCCAGCACTTATGGAACTGTATCATAAAATGATAATAATAATTAAAAAATGAAAAAAAGGTATGATTCTCCTTCTAGAAATGAGAAATAGGTGAGTCAAAATTAAGTTTACCCCACAAACCAATTGCCTCAAGGTTTTCCCATATGCAAGGAGAGAGCTGTGATTCTGACTGATGCTCCTTTGAAACAAACAGCATCAGCTACAAGTCATAATCTCCACATAATGAAAGCAAAGCATGTGGTCAAAGAAAACGCAGCTTCCCCTGGTACCCAGGACTGGAAAAACAAATTACTACCTGGTTCTAATAATAACAACGACTTTAAAACACAAATAAAAACCATTGCAGCTCATTTTCCTTGCATGTATCCTAGGCCAGCCATGTATGTGGGCCAACTGATTAAAGTCTCACAACAAACTTGTGGCGAAAAGTACAATTATCAACCCCATTTTACAGATGGAAAAGCTCAGCCAGTAGTCAAACCAAAAATGTAGCTACTGAGCTCATACTTCTAACCATCACATAACTCCTTATCAGACTTAAGCATTTCCGTTCTGCTAAAAGCCGCATTTGTCCATCAAACATTAGCTCGTTTTGTGAAACATCAACAAGGGCACAGAGAGAGAATACCCAGGGCCAGTATGGTAACACAACATGTAAAGCTGCTGTTTATGAAGCTGGAATCCTGACTGCTCAAAAAAATCTAGCTTCTTGCTAATGCGCCTCGGAAGGCAACAGAAGACGGCGTAATGACTTGGGCCCCTGCTTTCAGCCGGGCTTCTGTGGAAACTGAACCAGCAGACTGAAGATCTCCATCTTTCCCTTATCCCCACTCAGCTTTCTAAATACATAAATAAATCTTAGAGAGAGAATATCCTTGTAAGAATTCAACAATCAACAAAAGAAGTACTAGATTTCATAATTTGCTTATTTCAATAGCTTTCAATGAACACTGATTGCATTACATCAAAGAACAATCCTGTAAAAGCAATTCTGCGTTGGTCTAAAACAATGGTGCCAACATGCCCAGCTTTCTGATATTCTGATTAATCAAAGCAAACCATTTCTAAAGCACCGCACTCACCGTATTTAAGGAATTCTCCAGAGAGTCTGTATCTGCCCATTAAGCCTTTGACTAAAAAATGAGCAGGATAATAAGTGGACACATGCTTACCAGAGCATGCTACTCCATACTGCTAATTACTGTTACCGCGCATATGTCACAGTCAATCAAGTGCAGGGTCAGGCTAATATTCTTATCAAAATGGAAGAGCTTAATCAATAAAAATGTCTAAAAGGCAGCCAATCCAGGGAGCTGACTGAAGGAAGCAGAGTCCCATTTCTCTGAAAACAGTTCTGAGTCCTCACCAATTTACAAGTGGTCAACTGAGTCCCACAAAATGGTCATGATTTTGATCTAGAAACTTCTCAAAGTCAAGAGTTTCACAGTAATCAGCTCAACCATAAAATCACCTCAATTAACCACTCACTGAGCAGCTAACAAAATGAACTGGCTAACTACACGGTTTCATTAAATACAAGCCAATTACATGTCTAGGAAGACCTGTGAAAAGTATGATGTCTTTGTAGCAGAATTCATATTTTCCTTTTAGAATAATTAAGCAATAAGCTCAATTATCTACCCAAATCTTTAGTATAAACACAAAATCATAGTTGTATTTATAGCATATTGTGGCTACAAAACAATTTTTAAAAAGAACAATAAACAAATATAAATAAACTTTAACAGGAAAATCCAATACACTGTAAACATTTGATAAGATTATCAACTTCGGGTCCTGCGCAATAGCATAGTAGTTAAATCCTTGCCTTGCCTGCACTGGGAACCCATATGGGTGCCAGTGTGCGTCCTGGCTACTCCACTTTCCATCCAGCTCCCTGCTTGTGGCCTGGGAAAGCAGCTGAGGATGGCTCAAAGCCTTGGGACCCTGCACCCGTGTGGGAGACCTGGAGGAAGCCCCTAGTTTTGGATCTGCTCAGTTGCTGCAGCTACTTGGGGAACGAACCAGAGAATGAAGATCTTCCTGACTCTCCCCCTCTGTAAATCTGCCTTTCAAAAACATAAATAAATCTTAAAAAAAAAATTAAAAAGATTATCAACTTCACCCATAGTCATAAAACCGGGAAGTACAGTGTCAGACAATTTTCACTCATCAGAAATGACTAATAAACATTAGTTAATAAAGATGGAAGAAAAAACAATCATTCTATACAACTGGTAAAACTGTAAGGTAACGTAACCTTTGGGATGACAATTCAAAAAGACATCACTTTTCTAAATAATTCCCTTAATAATTCCTTAATAATTCCCTGAATATGTTCTCATACATGTATAAAAATAAACAGAAGCTAGAATGTTGACTAAAATATAGTGTAGAGGCCAGAGTTGTGTTGCTCACGTTCAGCTGCAGCCTGCACAGCTGCCATCCTCTGTGAGCCCCAGCTCAAGTCCTGGCTATCCCACCTCTGGTCCAGGTCCCGGCAGCGAGCCTGAGAAAGCAGTGAAAGAGAACTTTGATCCCTGCCAGCCTGCTCCTGTTGAAGTCCCAGGTTCCCAGTCTGGCCTGATATTCTGACTCAGCTGTTGTGGTCATCCGGGGAGTGAACCAGAATATGCAAGTTATTTCTCTCCCTCTCCCTTTCTCTCCTTGTATCTCTGCCTGTCAAATAAGTAAATAAACCTTCTTTTAAAAATAAATGAAAGAGGGCCCAGCATCATGGCCTAGCAGCTCAAGCCCCCACCTTGAACGCACTGGGATCTCATTTTTAGCGCCGGTTCCAATCCCGGCAGCTCCATTTCCCACACAGCTCCCTGCTTCTGGCCTGGGAAAGCAGTCGAGGTAGGCCCAAAGTCTTGGGACCCAGCACCCACATGGGAAACTCGGAAGAGCTCCTGGCTTCAGATCAGCAAAGCACCGGCCGTTGCACTCACTTGGGGAGTGAATCATTGGACGAAGATCTTCCTCTCTCTCTCTCCTCCTCTCTGTATATCTGACTTTGCAATAAAATAACGTGTAAAATAAATAAATAAATAAATAAATCAAAGAGTGAAACAGCACAAAATTGGGTATCTGAGATCTATTAAATAAATCATAGAACTCATATCCAATGTGATGTCCTGCCACTATTTAAAAAACAGAACGGCTCGTTTGTGTTCTGACACAGAAAGATTCCCACAGTGTTATGTAATAAACAATTCACAAAGTACACTCCTATTCATGTTGGTGAGCCAGCAAGAGAAAAACGTATCAACGGGGGTAGGGATTAGTTCCAAAAGACAGAAACCCCACTCCAATGAACACAAACCAGGTGGGCACGTGATTAGCTCATGTAACTGACCAGTACAAGGCAGACTGAATCTAAGCTGCTACGAGACTCAGACACTCCCGGGGCTGCCCACGCTCACACACGCCAGCCACGGCACACGTGTGTGCGAGGGAGGGAGTCCGCTGGTCTGTCCGTTCCACCTCACCCTCGGTGCTGCTCTCATTCCTCCCCACTGCGGATGGGCTTCTTTCCCGGCATCCTCTATGCCCTCTCAGTAACTCTGAGTGAAACGAGCCTGTCCCTCACCCAGCATGTTGTCAAAGCCCAAGAAAAGGGATGAACCTGCTGTAGTCACATGGTCACCCTGCAGCCATCTTTGTGTCCCATCCAAGTGGACAGAGCATGAGGACAGAGCAAACCTGGGTCACGTGCCCACCCCTTGATTAAAAATAGAAGGGACAGTCTGGGGGAGCAGGAGGAGAAGAAGTGTTTCACTAGACAGTCTAAATCAACATCTACCTGACACAAGCTGTGCATCCCTAATACAAGACTCTGAAATTCAACTCTGAACTTCAATTCTGGAGTGGTTTCAACTTCATCGTCCCAGATTATGAATATTGAACCCATGCAAATATTCTAAAATCAAAAAGGCTAGAATCTGAAATACTTCTAATCTTAAATGTTTCAGACAAATTAATTCAAATTGTAATTCACCTAAAAGAGCTTCACCTACCAACTCTATACACTTTATTCTTCATTTTTTATAGACTTATTTCTTTAAATTTATTTTTAGAATACTGTCAGGCACATTACATATACATAGTTCATTTTTTAATTTAAAAAGTAAAAAGTGTTGTAGATTGCCTTCAGAAAGAAAGCCCAAGGGGCACAAACTTCAGGATCAACGACTTTATAAGTTAAACTGGAGGAAATCCAAGCCTTGTGGATGAACGTGGATCTGGACATCCTGGTCCTACGTGCCTGGTCAACGTTTCAACAACCATTCAACAGTCATCACCAACGCGAGCTCTGGGAGGCTTTAAAAAGTGGAAGAAACAGGTTTTAGTTCATCAGTGACATGTTAGTGGGGAAGATGGACTTTCCTTACAGACATGTGTTGAAATCTCCAGCTAACTGCCTTTATTTCCTCTCTCACTTTTTTTCATCTATAATCTTATAGCCAATTAGCATTTGTAGGAAAACTCAAGTTATAACAACACCAAATATTCACTTTCTAGCTGTACCAAATGTCCTCCATAAAGACAACTGCAAACTGAAATAATCTCCAACATTTACCCCAGGTAAAAATACTAGTAAAAGTAGCCTTTGGCTGTGCAGCAATTAGAAGCAATTAGAAGATAAAAAACTAATTCTTCTTTTTCAGAGTCACTCCAAGTAAGGCCTACCAATTCTGACATTAATGACCAAGAGGGGAAAGGCAATCCTGTTTAAGTAAAGCAAAAAGATATTTGTTTACCAAGTATTTTTGTTCAAATTCCTTAGGCCCTTACAGTGTGCCCTCTGAGTATCACTGCTTCCAAGAGGCCTACCTAGCCCATGCTGAACTCCTAGCACTCTGTGACAAACTTAAGCATCTATTCCTATGTTGCGGGTAGAACACTGTAAGTATACTCTTACAAAATATGATGATAAAGTTCAGACACCATGTACCACATCCCAGTGCCTGGCCTGCAGCCCTGCTCAATGCAGCTTCTTGTTAAGGCAGATTCTAGGAGGCAGCAGTTATTGCTGAAACAGTTGGGTCGGTGTCACTTGTATGGTGGACTGGGATGAACTTCCTGGCGCCCACTTTAGACTAGTCCAGCCCTGGCAGTTAAGGGAGCTTCCTGGAAAAGCAGCAGATGATGGACCAAGTGCTTAGACCCCTGCCCTGATGAGGCAGACCCAGATAAGGTTCCAGGCTCCTGGTTTTGGCAGGTGCAACCTCAAGCTATTACAGCCATTTCAGGGAGTGCAACATCAGATGGAAGATCTTTCTTTTCCTTTCTGTTTCATTTCTTTCTTCCTTCCTTTCTCCCTTCCTTCCTTATCTGTCACTCTGTGTGTGTGTGTGTGTCCTTCTCTTTCTGTAACTGTTTTCCAAATGAATACATATAAATCTTTTTTTTTTTTATTTTTTATTATTTTTTCATTGGAAAGGCGGATATACAGAGAGGAGAGACAGAGAGGAAGATCTTCCGTCCCATGATTCACTCCCCAAGTGAGCGCAACGGGCCGATACTATGCCGATCCGAAGCCAGGAGCCTCTTCCGGGTCTCCCACGCGGGTGCAGGTTCCCAAAGCTTTGGGCCGTCCTCGACTGCTTTCCCAGGCCACAGGCAGGGAGCTGGAAGGGAAGCGGGGCTGCCGGGATTAGAACCGGCGCCCATATGGGATCCCGGGCGTGCGAGGTGAGGACCTTTAACCACTTGCGCCACCGCGCCGGGCCCAAATCTTTTTAAAAACAACTTAGATTTCCTTAAAGGGCAGAAATTTTAAAGTTCAGTAACTTTACAGTGCCTCATATTACCATTACAAGTATTCAAGAAAAATTTGTCCTACTGTGAAGAATGCTTTAAAATTGACAGGGCCCAGCATGAAGGCTCAGTGGCTAATCCTTACCTTTTATGCACCAGGATCCCACAGGGGAGCCAGTTAGTGTCCTGGCTGCTCCATTTCCCCTCCAGCTCCCTGCTAGCAGCCTGGGAAAGCAGTAGAGGATAGCCCAAAGCCTACACTCACTTGGGAAACCCGGAGGAGGCTCCTGGCTCTGTGATGGGGTTTGATGACTCTCACTCACTTGTCAGGTTAATTGACAGGGGACAGGGAGAGAAAAGGAGTTTCTGCACCCCGCCCTTCCTAACTCCTCTGGCACCATTCAAGTTAATTGAAGGCACGAAAAGAACACCCCGCCCCTCCTGACTTCAGAACAACTGACAGCTCAGAAATTACTCCAGCAGCTCCAAGCACCCACCCGGACCCTCCTACCTCCTGATGTACTAGATTAGGTTAACTACAGGAAAACTCCAGGCTCTAGTAATTCCCATTCTGCCTCCTGCACCAGGAAACTGTACTGAGTGGCTCTCAATCTGGCTGAAGGATGAAAGCTTAAAAACCCTGACTTTGCTGGCTGAGTGCAGTGGCTCCTGGAGTGTAGCAGGAGCTACTGTAACCAAGCTTGGGAAATAGACTCCTTGTAACATCCTACTCTTGGGTCCAATATGATCTCTCTCACATTCCACAACAGCTCTTGGCTCGTCCATTGCAAGCACTCGGGGAGTGAAATACAGTTCATACAAAAAAGGAACAGATTCTTTAAATAATGTAAATAATTGAGTCTGGACATTTAAGCAAAGTGAAATCTAAACTGAATTTTAAAAGATAAGTAGAATTTCAGAAAAGAATAAAGAACATTTCAGGGAAAGGAATATAATTGGGCACAAACAGTAAATGCCAAGGACTGTTTAAGGAACAATAAACTGAGAATTTCATTTAATCTCAAATAAACTGTTTACTGGGGCAACTGGCAAGAAATGAGGCCTGAAAATCAGATGACCACCTGACTCTGGTAAGTTTCTGACGCCAAGCAGAGGATCAGCTCTAATTGTCAGCAATGAAGAGCTATGCAGGCTGCTTGAGCAAAGTAACAAACAGAAACCAAAATTAAGATGGTTATTCTAAAGTGACCATTCTAATTTAGCCATGGCACAGTGTTTTAAGCCACTACTTGCAATGATCCCATTCTTCAACAGTGTCAGTTACAGTTCAAGCAACCCCCGTATCAGACCAGCTCTCTGCTAATGTACCTGGAAAATCAGCAGACACAAGATGACCCAAGTGCAGGGGCCCCTGAACCCACATGGGAGACCCACATGGAGTTTCAGGCTCCCAATTTTAGCTAGCTAAAGCTATTTTGGGAGTGAACCAGCAGGTGGAACTAGGGAACCAATCAATAAATCTCTCTTTTTCTCTCACTCCATCTCTCCGTGTGTGTGTGTGTGTGTGTGTGTGTGTGTGTGTGTGTGTGACACTCTGCCTTTCAAATAAATACACCTTAAAAATTAAAGAATGTTACTGAGGAAAAAAACAAAGAGAGCTAAGCAACTAATAAAACTTGGAAAATGTAGGTATACAACCAATCAGACCTAAGGATGCTTACGAGTTTATACTCAAATGCAAATAGTTTTTAAGATGTATTTATTTATGCTTCTAAAATTTTCAAAAATTTTTTTAAAGATTTATTCGTTTTTATTGGAAAGTCAGATACACAGAAAGGAGGAGAGAACAAGAGGAAGATCTTTCACCTGCTGATTCACTCCCCAAATGGATGCAACAGCTTGAGGTGAGCCAATCCAAAGCCAGGAGCCAGGAGCTTCTTCTGGGTCTCCCAAGTGGGTGCAGGGTCCCAATGCTTTGGGCCATCTTTAACTGCTTCCCCAGGCCACAAGCAGGATGCTGGATGAAAAGTGCGGCAGCTGGGACACAAATCAGCACCCATATGGAATCCCAGCACGTGCAAGGCAAAGGCTTTAGCCACCAGGCTACCAATTTGGGCCCTAAAGATTTATTTATTTTTATTGCAAGGGCATATTTACAGAGAGAAGGAGAAACGGAAAGATCTTCATCTGCTGGTTCAGTTCCCAAAAGGCCACAACAGCTGGAGCTGAGTCAATCCGAAGCCAGGAGCCAGCAGCTTCTTCCAGGTCTCCCATGCAGATGCAGGGTCCCAAGCCTTTGCATCCATTGCCCTCCCAGACCACAATTAGGGATCTAGGTCAGAAGAGGAGCAGCCAAGACGGGAACCACTATCCATATATAGGATGCTGACACCTGCCTGAAGAGAATTCGCCTGTTGAGCCACTGCGTCCGCCCCAAGATTCCAATTGTTTAAGACAAAATGCACAACAGAGCCTCCCTTTCCGTGAATTGTTCCAGGGCTCCTCCATGCACATACACAATCCCATCTTCATACCCAAACAACAGAGCCACTCTTTTTTACTGAGGGTTGGGGGCCAGAAGTGGGGAGTGATGTATGAATGCAGCATGAGATGAAGGGCCAGGTAGTTAGCTGTGCAACAAATGGAGCCCAAACACCTGTAAAGGCCAAAGGCACTGCAATCACATTTATTGCAAAATGGAAAAACAGACTGCAGATCCAGTCATACTGCGGGCTTGAGAAATGACATCAGATATAGCCAGTAAACTTGGCAAAAGGGAAAGACAGGATGAATGGAGTTATTGAAGTCTCAATCCTCAATAGCAGAGATCTGTAACCTTTTTAAGGGTGAGGAGTAGGGTCACAGACCCTTACAGGAATTTGTGGAAAGCTACAGACCTCTCTCTAGAGAAACACACTGATTCACAAAATTTTACATAGAGTTTCAGAAGGTTTATAGACACTCCCTCAGAGCCCATTCAGAGGATATTGGCCCATGAACTCCATGTTAAGAACCCCTGCAGCATAGTAATATAACTATTTCTATCACATATTCATTCCAAAGTTTTAAAAATTTTTAAATAGTAAGCTATACATACATCTTTCTTATTTGTAGATATCGTACATGAAACCAATAAATCATGTACCTTGGCATGCATACTCAAAAATGGAAAAGAACTATATTACAAAAGAAAAAAATAAGCATTTACTTACTGATAACATGAGAGCTTTGTGCTAATAACTACTATTTTTAATACCACTACTCTTGGTGATAGCAATATAACTGAACACAGCTTGCTTTTCTTTAGTCTCACTTTCATGTTTTGTAATGCAATAACCTGAAGGTCTGGTTGCAAATTCAGCTCATTTTTATACTAAATTACATTTTATTTGGTTCTAATGGTGATCACAGCTGAAAAACATACTTCACAAAGATGAATCAAGCTAAAGGAAGAACACAATTACTGCCTGTACTGAATAAAACATGATATTCAATTTTCAAGCCCATTCACCATTTATGCAAAGATTTTAGCTAAAATTCAGTTAGTGCATTTCCATATTTCCTGATGGCAATCAGTTGCTCTTACAAACTAATCAACTGGTATTGCCATTTTATATTTTCAGCAGATAGGCTCAAAATCACCAAAATGCCCCTATTTTTTTTTTCTTTTTTCAGGCTTTTAAAGAGGTTTTCAAGTTCATAGTACATTCAAAAGAAGTTCTCAAACTTAACACACATCGTATCAGCAATTAAATCCAACCATGATTGAATCAATTCCAGGTACCCACTTAAAATATCCTGTCCCCACAGCACTGAATTTAATTTCATTTGAAAAGATTCAGTACTCTGCTACTTAGTCATAGGTGATCCCTCCCAACACCCCAGGGAATATGGGAATTTTCATATAGTAACGAATTCTATATGTGCTTGGCTACACACATACACCTAAGATAAAATTCAATGGCTAAAACAGCTACACTAAGAGATTAACCACAATCACAGTATCACGGAACAAATATAACAATACACTACAATAAAAACAAATTATTTCTGGAATTTTTAACTTAAGTACAAGTGATCAAATCATGGAAACTGGAATTGTGAATAAGGAGAGGTAACTGACATTATGGGGTCTTCTTCACTTTTTTTTTCAATTTCAAGTTTTGAATTGACAGAGTACATAATACATATATATAATATGCAACAATCAGATCAGGGTAGCTGGTATACCAATTATCTCAAACATCAATCATTTCTTTCCGTTTGGAACATGCGAAACTCTATTAGCTATTTTAAAATATAAAATTAACTTGTTAATCACAGCATTAATAATTATTTCTCTGTTTCCACTGACAGACCTTCAACAATTCACTGTTGTTTTTTTGGCTTACACTAGGATGTGAAAGATAAATTCCTGAGCTGTCTTTATGGCAGCCCAGATTGAGAAATTGAGAAATACATTTGTTTAAAAAGGAGGGACGGGGAAGAGTTGGCACAGTGTCATAGCAGGCTCATCTTCCACCTGCAGTGTCACCATCCCATATGGATGGCTGGCTCAAGTCCCAGCTGCTCCACTTCCCATCCAGCTCCCTGCTTGTGGCCTGGGAGAATAGAGGTTGGCCCAAAACCTTGGGACCCTGCACTCATGTGAGAGACTTGTAAGAAGCTCCTGGCTCCAGGCTTTGGATCGGCTCAGCTCCAGCTGCTGCAGCCACTTGGGGAGTGAACTAGCAAATGGAAGATATTTATCTCCATCTTTCCTTCTCTCTGTAAATCTTTCACATACAAGATAAATTTTAAAAATCACTCCTACCATTCCAGTATCCATTAGCCATCCTCTCCTGTTCCCTTCTTGCCTGCGTTCTCAGCTTCTGGTATCCACTGCTAGCATTTCTCCAAGAGATCAACTATTACAGTTGCCTCAAAGCCTCTATCAAGATCTCACCATTATGTCAGGACAGACTGTCCTGATTTGCTAGGTAGCATAAAAGACACTCATATCAGAAAATATCAGCAGATTTGGGACAGTTGCCTTTTTTTTTAAGAAAAGAGAAAATAATCTTTAAGTTAAACAATTTTAAGTGCTCTGTGCCAAGATGATTGGCTGTCCTCTAGAGATTATTCAAAAGAACTGTTGCTGCCTCCCTACTGCGATACAAAGGAGTTCTAAGTATCTATTAAAATAATAAATCCAGAATCCAATTACCCAACCCTGTAAACTCTGAAACACTGCATCAGACTGGACGGGAACACACTTTCCTCACAGAACTTGACAGCTCTCCCACCTTCTAGATAATTCCAGGGAATTTTCACTTTCGAGGCCACAGCTCTGAGAATGGATTCTGTGCTGGGCAGGCTGTCCATTCATGCTTTCCCACCAGTGTCTCTCATGTGCTAGCACAGCAGGAAGGAGCTGTTCGAAGGTACTCTGAGGACAGCACATCTACCTCTGACACCAGCATCCTCGGCCCAGCAGCAACAAGCGGTATCAGACACCACAAGGTGCTGGAGCAAGGTCATCACTGCCTGACACAGCTTGCTTTAACACTTTTTTGGAACATAGCAGAGCATAAATAAACCAGAACTGAATCATGAACTACACTGAGAGAGCTAGGGACCTCCAACTTCTGGGACCCATTTTACTGATGAAGACACACTTAATGTTTATACAAGGAAATGATATTTTTGCATTAAAATAACCAAGTGTATTTCTTCATCTTAAAGAAATGACACATGATAATACACTGTTTACAAGTTTAAGGCAGCAAGAAGGATTCTGTACCTTGTTTCAAAAAAACATGCTTTTAAATACTAGTAGACACAAAAATGAGTAAGTTCCCAGTGTGATATGCCTTACATATGGAATCAGTTCCAAAACTAGGAAACACAAAATTTGAAGAACACAACCTGTCAAGAAAAATCCACAGATATTTGGAAAATCACCATTTCCCATTTCATCCAGTTCTGTCTTCTTACTACACACTCCCCCCCACCACATCCCTGACTTGAAATCCTTTGCTTCCTGCTACGGTACCCAGCTCGCTATGGGACCCAGCTCACTACGGGACCCAGCTCTCTGCTGCCCCCAGTTCTGGTGCCACCCTCTGTCTCCTCCCTCCCCCTTCATCGTTCCCTGAATAATTCCTCCCTTGTCTGCCATTCCATCCTTGCTACTTCATCTTCCTGAATGTACCGTTAGGACCTCCACCCTTCAGACACCATCGCTGGCCTCCTGCGAAGCCCTCTGGGGAATGCCTCCCCATCACTCTCAGATGCAGACAACAGCCCCTCTCCCTGAATCCATCCCTCAGCACTCGCCACATTTCATTAGCATGACCACCTTTCTTAGGTCATAATCTCCTTAAGAACAGAATTTCTGTCTCATCATTGAACTTCACAGTGTTTTAAACAAAGTCTGTACTCATAACTACGTCCTAAATGAGTGACTGAGTGACTACTTAGAAATTCATTCAATTACAGACTTCCTGTACCATTGAGAATGAAAGGGTAGGTTTGACTTAAACTTTGCAGAACAAATAAATTCTCTGGATTTCCCCAAACTCAAAGTAAAGCCAATATTGTACATAGAAATGCTTTCAAAACTCAAGGACATATCATCCTCCAACCCTGTCCAATACAGTGCGACAGATAACCTTAAACATACCATGCTCATAAAAATGTCAATATTTTAACCATACAGACAAAACCAAATTTAAAGATGTAATATATTAAAACTATTAGATCAACCATACAAAATAGAAAACAGAATGACCAAGCAATTTGTTTAAAAAAAAAAAAAAAAGCACCTTAAGCTTTAGCTGATCTGTGTAAATACTAACAAACTTGAGAGGCAGAATTTTATTGCTAAGATTCCAAAACCAACCATTCAAAGATAAGCTTACTTGGAAAGAAGCACCAAAGAATCAACATTACTAAAGTACAAAGGTGAGACCAGAAACAGCACAAGAATCTTAAAGTGACACTTTCATTAAGTAACTGGCACATCTACCTCCTGGGACATCAGAAAGGAACAAGACTGCAAGAAACCCCCTTCTCCCCCTGTCCCTGACCTCCCACCCCCAACACATGTATGGAACTGAAAGAATCCAGAACAGAAGAGTGCTATAATGTGGCCAAGTGTGGTGAATAAGCTTGGAGAGAAGCCCATTTAAATCTATGAAGGTGGGGCCAGCTCATGGCATACCAGGCTTATCCCCAGCTTCGGCAGGTGTCAGTTTAGATCCTGGCTGTTCCATTTCCAATCCAAGTCCCTGCTAAGAGCCTAGAAGAGCAGTGGATTTTCCATCTTGGCCCCTGCACCCATGTGGGAGACCCAGAAGGCAATCCTGGCTTCCACCTTCAGTCAGGCCCAGTGCTGACTGCTGCAGCCATTTCGGGAATGAACCAGTGGATGGAAAATCAATATTCTCTCTCTCTCTTTCACTCTAACTCTGATTTTGAAGTAAAATAAATCTTTAAAAGAAATCTATGAATGTGATTTGCATTCAGAAGACCTGGACTCAAATGTCATTCCCAACCGACAAGCTCTGCAATCTTAAGCTAACCACTTACCTTCTCTCAGCCATGCCTGCTTGTTTATAAAACACAAGAGGCGCAGAGTTAGCATAGCACCTGTGGAAGACACAGTGCTCAATCAATATTTGCTAACTGCAAATGCAGGCCCTACAGGAAAACAGATACTTCTCGCCAGGTACTTCAGCAGTTTTTTGAGAATGAGCCCAATTAATTCCTGGTTAATACTCTATTTACAATATTTGAGAGTCAATTTTTGGTCAAAAATTAAAATATACTTTTTTTTTCTGAGCTTACACATTACTCAAAAAATTACCAAGATTCTGACGATATTAAATCTCCTAATAATAACTTTCAAATAGAAAAGCTGAGTCTCCTAATGAAGCCCCAAAGCCAAATCCAGGTCCCCAGACTTGGGTACCTCCCCTGCAGGCCCATGGGGTTGTTCTGAATGACCCTGAAAGCACCTCCACTCTGAATGCTACGGCTCATGCCATCTCGGGACTGTCCAATCGAACAAGGAAAAAGTCAACATGCAACAGAAAGTTCAGGAAAGAACTTTTACAATTTTTAAAAATTATTTTGTGCAAAAACTTAGAAACCCATGCAGTTCTTTTTCAAAACAGGCATTTGCATGAACTTCTTGAAGCATTCTCATATGCTAAAATGAGGCTCTGAGATGGGTGGATGAAAGGAAGGTAAGATGATATATTCCACAGAAGTGAGTAACTGATGCTAAGAGAATGGTAAAATCAAGCTTTCTGGAAAACATGCCTGCTTTGATTCTGCTTCTGAAGGTAAGAAACATCAAGGAAACAGAAATGCAATTTAAATAAAGAAAATGAAATATGTAAAAGCAAAGAAGCAAAATTATCTATGGATGATTATAATATTTTCTTCACCTATATGGCATTTTATAGTTTACAAGGCATTTCTTCATGTCACCTGTACAGCAAATTTTCTAGGAAGAAAAATTTTAAAAATCCACTTACATGGTTTATATCTGATAACTGTTCACAGAGAGGCTCCACTAAAAGCAATTGAGTCCTAAATCATTTTAGAAAGGGATTTTTTCCAGCACTGATGTACAGGATGAGTGAAAGAAGCACATGCAGGCACGTAAAGTCATAAACCTACACATCATAGAATTTCAGCACAAGAAGAAATCTGAAATCAGAAACAGATGCACATTTACTAGCTTAAAAAAAGTCCTCATGGCAACAGTATCAATGTGACTCCCCATTATTCGGTGTGCAAAATGACAACTGCGGAATCAGAAATGAAGGAGGAATCTGAGAAATTACCAAAAAAACAAACAAACAAAAAATCAGCAAATCTGATGTATTAGTTGGTGACAGGCCCATTTACTAGGTAATCACTGGTATTTTATCCTGCTGCCAATAGTATACTAATTTCATCTTGCTACTTAATATATGTTACAGATCACAACAACATGAGGACAAGTATATTGTCCCAGTGTTAATTAGGAAAACCTGAGGTTTAATGTAGTTAAACGGCCCACAGATATAAGCAGTAAGTATGGAAGAGCCAGGTCACCAATCCCTAACTACTTCAAGTCAAAGAACTATTTCTAAAAACAGCTTTAAAAACTGCCTTGAGATTGGGATGGGTGTTTAGCACAGTGGGATTCCCCCATCCCAAATGGGGACATCTGGGTTGGAGTGTGGGCTCCACTCCCAATTCCAGCTTCCTGTTAATACGGACCCTGCAAGGCAGCAACCCAAGGCTCAAGTGCTGGGGTTCCTGCCACCTCCATGGGAACCCCGAAGGATTCCCAGCTGCTGGCTGTTGCGGGCTTTGCTGGGAGTTAACTAGCAGGTGGGAGTAGTCTCAGCGATACACTCTCCTCCGCATCTCAACTTCCCACTCTCCCCGCCACCCCCTTTCAAACAAATTAAAAAAAAAATACTTTAATTGCCTTAAAACTGCAAGCCAAGAAGGATAAAAATGAAGTATCTTTCTGGGAAAAATTGGACTAGTCAGTGTTGAATTCTGACGCTATTAATGGGCCGACTTTGCCTCGGTGCTTCTATCTGTTTTTATCTACCTAGCTTATCTGTTGCTAATGGTCAGGTTCAGAGCTGATCATTAAGCAAAGCCAAAGGTCCCTACCCTCCACACTGAAACATACCCACAGGGCAAGATTACAACAAAATAGCCAAGATGAGGGCATTGGACTGATTCATTTCAACTCTCCCCATTACTCTTCCAGTGACAATACCGTCTATTTTGGCATAAGCTGCTTATCTTTTAAATATGATAACTGCACTAATCTTTTCAGAAAGCTTATCACTTCAAGGGTTACAGATGATGTGGTTATGGGGGAGGAAGCACAGACAAAACTCACAGTACTTGTACTTCAATGGGATTTCTGTGTTGGTGTCAGTGTTTTGTAACAATTTCCTTTATTCAACGAGATATCTTGCAGAAACAAATCAACTCTGTACATTAATCTAAACACAAAACATCCACAAGCCCTTTTTCAGAAACAGCCTGTAGGAAGAACCTGCACCTCCTTCATCTGAGGAATCAGGATGGTTCCCGTTGCCACTAGCCCATTTTATGACTTTTGATACCATATGTTGAGGAAGGTGCAGGAAGGTTTGAAATAACCAGATTTCACCTCCTCCAATGGCAAAAAAAAAAAAAAAAGGACCAAAGTCTACCCTCAGTAGCCACTGATCAAGGGCTAAAGCAGGGAGCCTCTGGGAGAGAAGCCACATGGCCCCTCCCCCTACAGTGTTATCGCTACTAATGGCAAAGTTACAGAAGATGGGAAGAAACTGGGATGGCTCTGCAGCCGGGACCAGCTTCCATGTTCTGTCATGCAACTCTTGAAAGGCATGTATTTCACTCAATCAGGTAACACACAAGAACCCACCACAATGCTGTTGGGCCTCTGCCAGGAAAGCTGGCCCTCTGAGAATTCCTGCAATTATCACATTTAGAAGGCAACATCACTGCCAAGACACTAATAAGCAACCTGGGGAATATCCTGTGCTCCACAGCTCAGGGGATTCTACTCAGCACTGTGTGCCTGACTCACCTCCCAGATCTGCCTGCAAAGGAAAGGTAGGTTGGACTATGTGCCTTCAGGTCAACTAACTTCCTAGGACATGCAATACACATAGCTCAAACTATGTGAGGTCCCTCCCTAAGACACACCAAAGCAGAGAGGTAGAGTCTAAGACAAGGTGTGTGAAATTCATGACAACTAGGTAAGGAGAGCTAAAATATCCCTAAAACAACTGGAAATCACAGTCCAGCACACGCAATCCAATAAAAAAGGGAGGGACCTGGAAGAGGGATGGCCACTCCCTCCCCTCCCGTGCTCCACCTTCCAGCACCTCCACACCACCTTACTCGCTTACTCAACCTTCAGTCCTGGGGTGGGGGGGGGGGGGGGACTGCTCACTGGATTAGCAGGATCAAGTGGACATGCAGAGAACATTCCTTCCTGAGAACACCATCTTTAAATTATCTGGGCTTGTTTACCACTCTTCCCTATAGAGTAAGAATGTGAAATTTGGCCAACACTCACAATATATATCAGTCGACACCATGGCAACTCAATCCTCTGCCCACAAAAAAAAAAAGGAAAGGAAAGTTTGCCCCCAGACGCCCTCAACAGTGAAGCGTCTTGAGTAGCAGCAGTATCTGTGTGTCACACCCACGTCACGTTAGCCCTACAGCTTCCTGGCACGAGCGAATTCTTGGGATTATACAAACTGCTGCTTCTGTTTCTAGCCTAGGTTTCTAGAAATGAAACCCTGGAATTGAGGGAGCAAGAAAAACAAATGTTGGCAGAAAGAGGGAAGAAAGTGCATTGTCTGTTTCATCGCAGTTTATATGGAACAATCACCATTAGTTCCATTGAGCTTTTTTTTTTTTTTTTAACAAAACCACTCACCCAAAAATGCAGATCTAAAATACTCCCTTGGCTTAAACCTCACAAAAAGTAATTCAAGAGACAATCCTACAGAGTTTTCTCCCAGAGAAATAAGGAAGCATTTACCTGTGTAAAATTCAAGTTTTGTACCTTATGAATCAAATTTCAGTGTGGGTTAAGTAAATGAAAAAAAATATTTTTAAAGGTACTGCAAAATTTCAACAAAAATCAAGGCAAAGACCTGTTTTTCTAAGCAGAAGCCCTCTATTTTCTCTCCAAACCCTAACAGTTAGACCCCCTATTCGGGTTCTCCCCCAGCCCACCTCCCTCCTCGCCCTTTTTTGGTCCACGGTTCTGAAAGCATAAAATCTGAACAAGAAATAGAAAACATTTCAGCTATTAGTTCACAAAAACCAAATTAGACCTTTTCCATGGGCAGGAGATAAAATAGAAACACTTTCATTTTATCTCGTTTATTGCCAGAGGTTCAAGGAATGCCTGTTTATTAAGCTGAACTGAACCCCCTCGGCCACCTTTAACCCAAAACTATTTCGAGTTCAGAAGCCCAAAGACCCAAGCAAACACTTTTCACAGCAGCCTCCACGTGAAGAAACCCGACCCCTTCCTCCTACCCCGGGGCAGCAGCGAGACAAGCCCGGAGGCCCCTTTGGCCAACTTTTTTTTTTTTTTTCCTAAAGACTAACCTCCAACCAATTCTAGAAGAGAAAAGACAAACTTCAAGTACAATTAACCCTTGAAAACCGAGCGTTTCCGCGGGGCCACACAACGGACTCCGAGTCCGCGGCGGGTCCGGTTTGCACACTCTAGATTTCTTAATCAGCCGAGGGCACGCAGCAGCCCTCACACATCATCGCCTCTCAGATTCCTCCTGGCATGCACACGAGGTGCCGGGGCTGCGAGCCACCCCAGCCAGGCAGCCGTCAGTCCCCAACATCCTACTCCACGCGACGACTCCGCCACCGCCAAATGGGGGTGGGGGGAGTGCAGGAGGGGAATCATGTCACCTTCTCCACAAGGACACCTGCCTCTTCAACGCCTCTCTACAGCGCGTGAGGAGAGCCGCGCAGGAAAGGCTCCCAGCGCCTCCAATCTAAAGTTTTCCTCCCCACCAAACTCTGCGGCCACAGCAGCGCGCGGCCTGTCCTCGTCCCCCACACACAGGCGGTATTGTCAGCCGCACCCCCCAAAACACACACACACGGCTCTCTCCAACACCCTCACGCCAGGCAGCGTTCAGCCCCCCCACGGCAGTGACCGCTTCACAAGCAGCCCCCCACAGCTGAGCGGAGAGGGGCCGGGGCACCCCCTGTAGGAACTCTCCGTTTCTCCTCCAGAAGGCTGGAGAGCGGCTCGCGCGGCGCGACCACCCGCCCGGCCCACCTCGCACGCCGTCGGGTCCAGCCGCAGGACTCGCCCCCCGCCCCCACCCCCACGTCCAAGGGGCCGAAACGCGGGCGCCACAGCAAACTGGCTCTTACCCATCCCATCTGCACCTCCGACGCCCCCCCGAGGGGCAGGGGGCCGGCCCGGGCGCCGGGGGCTCACACCGCCGCGCCGTCGAGGGCGGCGCTGACGGAGAGGCGCGCCGCGGGCACCCCCAATTCGGAGTCCCGACACGCGACAGAATCCCCGGCAGGGGTGGCGGGCCGGCCAAGGTCACGGCCCCTCGTCGGGGCCGGGGGGCGCCCGCGCCGACTTCCGGCTCCCCCACGCCGGCCGGCGGCCGCGCAGCCTCGCGGCACCCTCCGCGGATGCTGGCCTCCCGGCGCTAACTAGGGCAACTGGAAACGAGGCGGAGGGAAGGCGCCGCCGCAGCGAGCTGCCCGGGCGCGGAGCAGCCCCCCAGCCCGGAGCCCGTGACAGCTGCGACCTCCGCCCCCTCCGGCCGCGCCAGGCCGACCGGGGAACTCGGCAAAGTGGAAGGGGGCGAGGCGAGCCGAGAGAAAGGAGGGCGCCGAGGGGCGCCAGCTGCTCCCCGCCCCCTAGGGCCTCGGCGGCCGCGCCGCTCGTGACAGCTGCACCCACCGCGAGGCTCCGCGCCCGCCGCCCGCCGCTCACCTGCCGCCGCCGCCGCCGCCTCGGGACCCGCGCTCACGGGGCGCCGCGCTCGCCCGCGACCGTGCCGGCGCCGCCGCGGCCTCCGCCACTCCTCGAGCCCGGAGCCCGGCCCCCGGGGCCCAGGCGGCCGCCGCCGCCGCCGCCGCGGCTCCACCGGCCCCTCCTCCGGAGCAGGCAGGGGTCCCCCCGCAGGGGGATGCAGCACGAACCCCGCGCGGGCTCTGCCCCAGGGAGCAGCAGCGATGAGGCGGCCGAGGCGCCCGAAGCCGCGGCGCAGCCGTCGGAGGACGGGGCTCGGCGAATCGCCTCAGACTGCCGCTCGCCTGGCCTCAAGAACAGGCATTTCAGCCGCTCTCCGCGGCCGCCATGTTCTCCTCCTCCTCCTCCTCCTCCTCCTCGGCCGCCGCCGCCGCCGCCGCCGCCCCCCGCGCGCGGCCCCGCCCCCTCCGCGCCCCGCCCCGCCCCGCCCGCTCCCGGCCCCGCCCCGCCGCCCGCCCGCCGCGCTTCCCCTCGCCCGCTCCGGCCGCCGGGGCTGCCCCGACCTGCTGCCCGCGGGCTCCGACGGCGCGCCTGGCTCGGCCGGGCCGGCGGGGCGAGCAGCCGCCCCGCGCCCTCTGCCGGCCACAGGCCCGCCCCGACCCCGGTTAGTCCTTAAACCGAGTGTGGGAAAGGAGGCCCCGAACTCTGCCCTCCCCCTCGGGGCGTGCCTCCGGCTCCTGCCGGGAAGCGGCCTCGAACCCGAGGCTGCCTCAGCTCGGCCGCC